CCGGGGCCCTGGAGCCTCCCAGTGCCGGGATCGTTCCTAAAGGGTCTTGATCCCGCTGGCGTGGCTCAGGGGTTGAGCATCGACCTAGGAACCAGGAGGTCACGGTGCAATTCTCGGTCAGGTGGACGCTCAACCCCTGAGCCACGCCAGCCGGGCTGTATTATTATGTATTAATCATGGCGTTATTTTCCTTACCAACAACTGTAAACCTGCCTTTGCCCCACACTGTACCGTCAAGGGCCACATAGGGAAGCGATTGGCCCTGAGAAGTGTCCTCAGGCGATGGCATCGGCCACCGGAGTGTAGCCCACACACCTCGGCTGGAGGCTCTACCACCGTCACGGATGTGGCCCTTTGTTGGCCAAAATGTCATTATTTGGCCGGTGACGGTGGTTCAGATCTCGCCACTGAAAACATTGCAGCGAATTCACCGTGAGCATCCAACTGTGACCCCATGCTGAGCGAAGGCTCACTTTTCATGGCCACATTCGTTATGTCACCTTTTACTCACGAAGCTGGCCCAGCTCTCGGCCCAGCTGTAGAGGGATTCGTCCCACGCGTGCTTGCTTTTAACCCACTGCGAGCGAGAGGGGGACACGGAAATCTCCCGTTCCTACCATTTCACCAGGAAAGCCTGCATTTCCCATTTTTCAGCAATAACTGAACACCCCCCCTTCCCCCCCGCCTTCCCCCAATCCCCCCTGCATCTACTCCCGCTGTTGACTAGTTGATGTATAGGGTTTAGACATAATCCCTGTGTTTGGCTTATTGGGTTTCAAATCTTATTTCCTTTGTTTTATTGAGGATTACCAGGATCCAACTCCATTGACATTCTACCCAATACACTGAGACGGCAAGGAGGACAGATGCGCCCTAGCATTACTAACGCGAGTTTCCGTGGTTCTGTGAAACCCGGCGGAAATGGGAGAGAGAGAGAGAGAGAGAGCGCGCCAAGCTGTGTGCACATGGATGCTTTATCCAGTGCGTAGCGTGTGTGGAGTCTCTTAGTTTGGATCCCTGTGGAGTCTGGAGTCAAGACTGAACTCTGAGTCTCCAGCCGATGTTTGTTTATTTATTTAAATAATTTTCTATTGCTTTCGGAGAGGAAGGGAGAGAGAGAGAGAAACATCAGTGATGAGAGAGAATCATGGATCGGCTGCCTCCTGCACGCCCCACCCTGGGGATCGAGCCCGCAACCCGGGCCTGTGCCCTGACCAGGAACCGAACCCTGACCTCCTGGTTCATAGGTCGACGCTCAACCACTGAGCCACGCTGGCCGGGCTCCAGCGGACGTTTACAGTGTTCAGGACTCTTGGCCACTCGCGGGCTCTGAGGACAGACACGCAAAGCAGAGACCCCCCTGGGCTCTGATTGTTGCCCCCCCCCCCGTCCCTGGCAAGAAGAGCCCCCCTAACTGCCACCCTGGGGTTTCCATATTCCTGTCACTTTCCCAATCCGCTTTCTCCCACCCTCGTCTGCCTTGAGCTCACATCCGCCTGGTGAGCTGAAGGCCAGCCCGCTCCCAGCATCCCGAGGTCACGCTCAGGCCGGGCGGCCGGGGCCTCTCCGCGGGCTCCGTCTTGGAGCAGCCTCTGGCTTCCACTGCACACGCTGGGCTCAGCCTAGACGGCCCGCGGGGTCCCGGGCGATCAGGAGGGACGTGGTGGGCGGGAAGGGGGACCACGGCGGGTCCAGGCGCGGCGCCCCCTCACCGCCCCTCTGTGCCCTCGCAGGGTTTTTGTATTGCTTCCCGGCCATGTCCCTCCTGGGCCTCTTCCCGCAGATCAACACGTTCTGCGTTTACCTTTTGGAACAAATCGACATGCTGGTCTTCGGGGGCTCTGGTACGTGTCCTCCTCCTCCTCCTCTTCTTCCTCCGGTGCCGGTCGGCCCAGCAGCCTCGGGCTGGAACTCCCAGGACCCCGGCGGTGGCTTCTCGTTGACCTGAGCGCCTGACCTGCTTCCGGTGGGCTCGGTCAGGGCCCAACCGAGAGGGGCCCACCTTGCTGGGTCCAGCCAGGCAGGAACCAGGGAGGGGTGGACTCTCAGAGCCGTGGAGGGGGTTGGGAGCCCGCTGGCCATTCCTTGGACAATCCACGCGCTGGGATGTGTGTGAACGAGAGTGAGTGGGTGTCAGGGTGGCGCGTGTGCGTTTGGCCACGTCCGGGAGCGTGTGAACGGGAGCGTGGGCTGTGCCATTGCATGTGTGGTCAGAGTGCCCCTGTGCAGGCACGTGTGGCTGCCCCTCCTGGGGCTTCTGGGCGGAGCAGGTGAGACTCGGACCCGGGCCCTGATGCCTGAGTGTGCCGCCTTCCCCCGCGCCCTGACCCCGCGCCCTGGCTGTGGGGACCGAGGTCTAGGAAGGCCTGTTGCTGTGTGTGTTCCAGCTGTTTCTGGGATGACATCGGCCGTCTGCAGCGTGGCCCGGAGCGCGGCCGCCGCCACCGCGCTGCACGCGCTCTGCTTCAGCGCCGTGAAGGTAGGTGAGCGGACGCCCCCGCCTTCTCCCAGCACTTTGCGCCCCCTGATGGTCCCGGGAATCAGATGTGGCCTCCAGGTCGGACAGACATGGACCCTCCGAGCATCAGGGGCAGCAGGCCTGGCGGGGAGGCCTCAGCGGAGGGAGGCCGGGTGTTCAGACACCTGGACGCACAGGGCCCACCGGGCCGGGCCTCCCCCACAGGCGTCTCTCTGGCCCGGTCGGTCAGGAGACAAAGGCTTTGTTGCTGGAATCGCTTTTCCCTTTGTTCCTCCTGGTTGAGATGTGCTGTCCATGTAAGTGACCGTCGGGCCATCGTAAGTGGGCTCTGCTTGGAGCGCACATGGCCAGCTCTGTGCCGGGAAAGGGCGCGCACGCAGGGGCTCTGGGGTTCACTTATGGGTTGAAACACGGGTTCACTTTACGGGTTGAAACACGCCTGGAACCGGACGGAGCTGGGCGCCTCGGGAAAGGTCCTGGCACCCCAGGGGAGGCCCTGCGTCCCCTGGCTCGGCACAGAGCAGCTACCGCCTGCAAGAAGCGATCTGGCCTGTGGCTCCAGATCCTTCACGTTCTGTCTGTATTTTGAAACGTTTTGGTAAAAACGGAGCCATCTGCATCTCTCCCTTCTCATGTGTAAGCCCTGAGGCTCCGGGATGGTCACAGATGGACTCTCGCTCTCAGTGCAACGCCTGTTAAATGCTGCAAATTGAAGGAACGAGGTGAGCCAGTCCGCCAGGGGGCCCCTCGGATGAAGGAAATCTCGCCGCCTCACCGGGAGCCGGGGCCCTGCTGCCGGTTTAACGAGGCTTTTGTTTCTGCCTTTTGTGCTTGCTCTCCGCTTCCCCGGGACTGACTTTTCCTTCCATCCCTGCACTGCTTTGCCGCGCGCAAGGCTGTTCCAAGTCTCGTTAAGGCATGACCGCCCTCTGCCAGAAAGGTCACTGTCACCTTGTCACAGAACAGGAAGCCGAGCGCTGAGCAGTTAAGTGCCGTCCACGCGACCGCTCCTCCCAGGAGCGATGAGCGGGGAGTCGCCTCTGCCCACGCCTGGGCCCTGGCCTTTTCTCCGTGTCGTGGCGTGACCGTCACTCCCAGGGCCGGGGTTTCTAGATCCTCCCAGAGATGTTCCCAGCGTTTTCAGTCCCATGGGCTGCACAGAATAAGGGATGAAAGACGCATCGTGGGCAAGCGCAGAGGGTCCATGGAAGGACATGGAATGGAGCAGGTTTCTGCCTTTGGAGTCTTGCTCTTCCCTAGAATTTTTTGGGACCAGCCAGGCAGGAAGTGAGAGGAGAGACGCTGTGGGCAATGGCCAGAGCGGGGAGTGTGTGAGGGAGGCGGACCGAGCCTACCTGCCCGGAGCCCCGCAGCGGGAGGACCATGCTCCCCCGTTTCTTCTGTCGGGGCCGCACTTAGCCACTCTCGTGACTCCCCCGGGCCTCTGTGTCCTGCCCTCTGAGTGCCTGGCACCTCGCACCTCGCTGTCCCATCGCCTGTCACTCCTGGTGGCAGTTTCTCACGTGGCCTTCCTTTCCCAAGACCCCGTGTCTGCCTTCCTCACGCGTGTGCTCCTCACAGGGGCCAACGCTTCTCCCTGGAAGTCAGGGAGCCGGCACCAAGTCGGTGGGTTTTTCACGCTGGCCGCTGCAGCATGGGTAGGAGTTCACAGGCAGCGTGGCGTGGGCAGGGCGAGTGGAAGAGCCCTCTGGGCAGCGGGAACCCTGTTTACAGAGGCAGGGGGACGGGAAGCGGGGTGTCTTCCCGGTTTGGGGGCTGTGCGTACCCTCAGTGTGAGGAAGGGGCTGGAATGCGGACGAGGGTCCGATCCTAGGGGCTGACATCCCTCCCTGTGGAGGAGGTTTTATGAGGCCGTCGATGAGGAGTCGTGGAGAGTACCGAGTGGAGGACAGCCGTGGGGTTGGTTTGCCTGGGCTGAGAGGGGACCCTCTGGTATGTGGAGGAGAAGCCGGGGCTGTGGAGGGAGGGCTGCGGGGTTGGCATTCACGTTCCCGCGGGCGGGCGCTGTGAGCAGCCGTCCTGACCGAGACTGAGACCGTGGGAGCCTGGCCAACTGGACACAGGGAGGGGAGGGACCGGCTAGAGGGACAGTGGAGACTCGGTGACCTGTGAGGGTCAACCCAAGGCCCACAAGGGTGGTCAGAGGCTCTCGGGCGGCCCTCAGCGGGGCTGGTGGGGGGACGGGCCTTGGAGCCAGACTCCCCCCGACTCCCCAGCTGCAGGCGCCGGGCCTCGGCTCCCTGCCAGATGCTGCTCCCGGGACCCTGCGCCTTCCCTGTGGGGGAGAAAGGAGATGCGTTTTAATAGATTTGTATTGGTTTCAGGGAGGAAGGGAGAGGGAGGGAGAGAGAAACACCAATGATGAGAGAGTCATGGACCGGCTGCCTCCTGCACGCCCCACACTGGGGATGGAGCCCGCAACCCGGGCCTGTGCCCTGACCGGGAATCGAACCGTGACCTCCTGGTTCATAGGGTGACCCTCAACCACTGAGCCACACCGGCCGGGCAGGAGATGCGTTTTCCTTTCTAAGAAAGTGAGGCTGGCGCAGTGAAACGGCTCTCTGCCCAGGGCCGCGCTGGCTGCACCGGCCTATCGGAGAGTCACACCCATCATGTGGGCACATGTGACCCGCCCACTCGTGAATCTGGTTCTGAGCCCCATGAGCAGCTCACGCACGGGCTCTGCGGTCTCCCCCCAGGAGCCCTGGAGCGCCCAGCACATCCCCGCGCTGTTCTCCGCCTTCTGCGGCCTCCTGGTCTCGCTGTCCTTCCACCTGAGCCGGCAGAGCAGCGACCCGTCCGTGCTCCTGTGAGTACCGCGCCCCGAGCTCGACGCAGGCAGCTGTGACACTCCCTGCGCTGGAAACACGCTCCACACTGCAGCGCACGCACAGCTGAGACACACACACTCTGTGCTGGGACACACACATACATCTGTACACACCTGTGCTCTAACACACGCGTGTGAGTCACATGCCCTGTGATGTAACACACGCACACCTATGAGTAACATGCCTGTGCTGTAACATGCACACATGTGTGAGTTTCTCACACACACACACACACACACACACACACACACTGTGTGTGGGTCCCTGCAGCCTTGCTCTCTTACGGGGAGTGGGGGGGTCGCACTCTTCCTAGCTGGTCCACATGGGCGAGGGAGGTGAGGGGGGGAGTTGCAGGTGACCAGAAACCCCTGAGCTGCCAGCACACATTGCAGTGCCTCTGTGCTCCCGAGTAAAGCTCA